ATTATACCCTTCTACTCGAACCTTCAAGAGTCAAGGAAAAAAAAGTGTATTAAAGCTGGGTAATTCTACTTAAAAATCTTATAATTCAAATAGTCCATTAAGAGATAAACAGCTAACTTTTAGTTAAGTACTCTAAAAGTACACTAAAAACTAACACCTGAGAACACAAAGGCTACCTTATTAAAAAAACTTGAACCGTACTATCTAGTGAGAAGCTAAAATTATAAAATAAAAATATTCATTTAAGTGGCTCAGATATTCTCATGTAACATGTTTAATCACATTAAAACCTGATTTGATAACAACCTCTCCAATTACTCTTTCAAGCACTTTGTTTCTAAAGATGTAGTAAAATTACAAACAGCTTATCTAACTTTTCTAATTTTTACTACTGTTGAGGAAGATTTAAGTTCTAGTTAGAATTATTTATCTATTATATTATTCTATAAATAATGCTTTCTTGGAAATGATTTATAATGAAAGAGAATAGCAGTCACAATACAAGAACTATTCTTCCCCACTGTGCAACTGATTTTTAACATTCACAAACAAAAGCATTCTTATTTTAGCCACAAAACTAGCTTTATAATTCACATAAAGGAACTGTATTCTGTAGTACCTCACACATGAATTTCTGCCTGTTTTTGTTCCCTACTGCTCTAATTTCATACGCTGGGGTCATCTTCCTTTTGCCACACCAGGCATACAGAAAATTTTTAACGTCACCCATGATTCAGGAGTCTTCTTTGGACCTAAGAAAACAAAGTTGGTTAAAAATAGCATGATACCAAAACCTGGAAATAAAACATTACCTGGAAATTACTAAAATCTAGGTCAACAGATCAAGGTTGTAAAGAAATTTCCCCACAATGGTTATCTTTGGGGTCTAGTAATGATTTTTATCTCTTCTTAAATATTTTATGCAATGTCCTACATTCTACAAGGAGCATCTATTGTTTTAACTCATTTACTGATCAACAATGGAATTTATGGCACATTCTATTACTGTCTACATAGGAAGAAACTAAGGCTTAGAAAACTTAAGTAATTCATTCATGATGGAGGCATAAATTCAAAATACAGAATATTATATTAAAAAATGGGCTGGGTGTGGTGGTGCATGCCTGTTATCCCAGGGAGACTGAGGTAGGAGGAATTAAGTCCAAAGTCAGGCCCAGCAACTTAGTGAAGTCCTCAGGAATTTAGGGAGACCCTGTCTCAAAAAAAGGTGGGGTGGGGATATAAAGTGGTAAAATTCCACTGGGTTCAATCCCTGGTACAAAAAAAAAAAAAAAAAAAGGGAAGAAAGAAATGGCCATTAATAATTTTGTGTAGTCGTCTCCTCTCTTTCTGACTACTAGCAGACTATCCTTCATGCTGCAGAGTACATATTATATTGGGACATACAAATACATTAAGCATCCCTTTCTTGAACTGAGGACAGTGATCTATTAAATGTTAGGCACCAAAACTCTTTTAGGAATAGCTTGTAGAATTGCCAGGTGTACTGGGTGCAGTGGGGCATGAAGTAATCCAAGAGGCTCAGGAGGCTGAGACAGGAGGATCCCAAGTTCAAAGCCAGCTTCCCAGCCTGAGGAAAAGTGAGGTGCTAACTAAGCAGTTTAGTGAAATTCTGTCTCTGAATAAAAATACAAAACAGGGCTGTGGGTGTGGTGTAGTGGTCCAGTGCCAGAGTTCAATCCCTTCACAAAAATAAATAAATAAATAACCATGTGAGGCAGGGAAAGCCTGTAATCCCAGCAACTGGGGAGAACTGAGGCAGAAGGATTGCAAGTTCCAAGCCAATCTTAGCAATTTAGAGAGGTTTGTCCCAAAATAAAGAAGCTTTGGGATGTCTTTCAGCAGTTAAATGCCCCTGGGTTCAATCTCTGGTACAAAAACAAAACAAAAAACCCTGTAGGAAATAAGTTTCCTTGAAACCCAATGTATCATACTTGTTGGCACTTGCCCTCTACTCCAGACTATAAAATACTAAAAATGATGGAGAGTCTAGAATGCTAGTCTAAATAATTATCAAAATATAAAACCAGAGGGAGGAATAATCAATTTAGTCTGCTGAGAGAAGAAAAAAAAAAACCATTACCAGTGCATTTTGCTAGTATTAAGTCTAATAACATCAAGCTGGTCCCTACGATAAACTTGCCAGTCATCTGGTGAAGGGAATGGAATATCCCATTTTGAGAAAAATTGTGGAGATAAAGATGTCTGCTATGGTTCAGGTAAAAGTCCAAGACCCACCCAGTAAAAGGTTTAATTCCCAGTCCATGGTACTATTGGAAGGTGGTGGAATCTTTAAGAGGTGGAGCCTAGTGAAAAGCCTTCCTGTATTAAGGGGAGAAGGAGCATGCCCTTGAAAGGGTATAGGATCTCCAACTCCCACCCTAGAAGGAGGTTATATTTGTTTGTTTCACCAAAAACTCTCCACCATGTGCTAAATCACCACAGGCCAAAATGCAGTAGAGTTAATCTAATCACCCTGGACTGAAACCTTGAACCAAAATAATCCTTTCTTTTTAATCAGATTATTCCGAGTATTTTGTAACAGTGATTGTAAATAATGCCCACCTGTAAATTCCACCCCTGAGTAATTACTTCAAAAAAAAACAAAAACAAAAACAAAAAACAAAAAACAAAAAAACCAACTCAGTAAATGAGTAACTCAAAATATTAAATACTAGATCACTAAATTCATTTCTCTCTAGGTAGTCTCATCTAACTCGGTTATACATAGGGCCAAAATATTAAAAAGTTTAATCTACTTTGTCTTCAAGTTTCAAAGTCAAATTCATCTAAGCGCTCAACATATCCATCTGCATGCAAACTTGGCATCTCAATCAAAAAGGAATTTTAAATTTCCTTCGCGGATCTGTTCCAACCACCCTCCATATCCATTAATGGCACTACCATCCACTAAATTAAATCAAAATTCGGGAGTGGGAATTCACTCCCTGAAAATCCTTTACTATGTGCCAAACATCCTCAAGGGATCATTTTAAGGACTACTTTTAAAATTTCATCTTTGCAATAAGCATTTCTACGATTCCCTTTTCTCTTTAAAAAAAAAAAAAGAGAGAAAACTGATACCAAGAATAATTTGTCCCAGAAAATAGACCCAATCTGAGAAGCCACAATTTCATGAAGATAGAGGACGAAAACTGCGTGGTGGCGGAAACTATCTATTCACTCCTCTCCACCTTCCCTGTACACCAGGCAACCGTGCTGCAACTCTCACCACCTGAAGCCCGTTTTCTTAAGTTCCCCTCTCCACCCTCCAGGCCCAGGTCTCGGCCTCGGCCATCACTGACGCCGCCACCGCGCGGAGGCGGACGCAGCCCGGGCCCGAGGCCCCCTCCTCCACCCTCCCTAGGGTGGTGTTCCCGCGCACACGCTCAGTTCCTCCGCGGCCGGCACACCAAGATCTTTGTTTCTCTGCCGCCTGCTCCTCACCGCACCCGTCCACCACCCTGAGGGAAGGGTAGGGGCCGTATCCGACCCACCGGGCCTGCGCCGATTGGTCGCGTGAATGAAAGAAGGCCCCACGGGCCCTGCGCACGTGCGGCGCTTCCGCGACAACCACCGTAGGCGCTTCACCCCCACCTTCCCCCGGCCGCGACCGCGCCCCGGCAGGCCCGGAGGTAGACGCTGCGGGTCTGGCGTGCAAGGGACTAAAGTGAGGGGGACAGGGAGAAAGCGGGGGCCTGGGGCACGCGAGGCCCGCGCACACCAAGTGCGCCACGGCGGGCACGCGCACACTCGCGATCTGGGCGCCGGCCGCCCCTCCCCCACCGCCGCCGCCCGCGCTCCACACAAAGCCGCCGCAGAGCCGCGGCCCCACCACCCGCCCGCCGCCCTGCCCGCCGCCCGAGTCTCTTCCTTACCAGCCTCCGCTTCCCGGTGCCCGAGAGCACAGCCCTCTTAAGACCGTCTGCGACTCCGGTCTCCTTCAGAGACCGCTAGAAAGCACGCGGCCTCTTGCACCCAGGCAGCGCCGAAATGGCTCCGACCGCGGAGCTCGGTGGGCGGAGTTAGCGCGTGCACGCATGCGCAAAAGGCGAGGTCGGCCGCGAGGGCGCCCCGCGGGAGGGGGCGGGGCAGCAGCCCTTTCGCGCCTCGAGGCCGTGGTCGGCCGGAGATCGCAGCGCGCGCGGCCTAGGCCCCGGGTTGGCCACTTCCGGGAACGAGCTACCGGCCCCTGAGCCTTGTAGGGAATCGAGGGCCTAAGCGTTGTGATGCCCTTGTGTCTGACAATTTCTATCACAGCAGCCCGTGGTACCTCAAAATATGCCACCCCGGAATATATTTCTTGGGCGCGTTTCAAGATGGCTATTCTGAAAAACTGCGGACCAGACTGAGTCTGAAAGGCTGCCCTTTTGTAAAAGAACTTCCATCTATAAAGGAAATCTGCATTAGTGAAGTAAACGGATGTAAACAGGCTCTCCCCTTTGAAACCCCTTTCTGACTAACAAAGACCTTTTCAGAGAAAGGGGCGGGGGTCTGATCCCCGGGCCGCAGATCTCCACCCATCCGGTTGCCTGGGAGACTCATCTGCGTAACAGGGCGCCACGGAGCTTGTGCTCCCCCACCCCCGTGGGCTTCCACACTTCCTGGCTGCCCCAGGTCCCCAGCCCTTTGTTCAGCGCTATCTAAATTTCAACCGTGATGCCCTCCTTTGAGTCCCTGTTTGCAATTTATTAAGCTGTTTTTGCACATAAAGAAATTTATTATGTTCCCTCCCCCAAAACTCGAGTTAACCTATTATCAGTTTATTTCACAGATTAAAATTATCAAGAGGCTGGAGGCGTGTGGCTCAGTGGTAGAGCACTCCCGAGGCTCTTGTACCGGTTAAAAAAAATTATATATATAAACTGTTCAGGGTTATTGATGTTTAAAGTAGATGTCTCCCTCCCTGGGGGTGTATTTCAGTGATAGAGTGACTGTTTAGCATGCAGGGAACCCTACACAAATTTTCAAAGCACCGATTGAGTAGTGAAAGTGACTTTATTCTTGGTTAAGACTAGGAGAAGTAGAAGATAAAATTGCAAACCAATTTCCCACCCTTGGGGTGTTGTGAAGTATGGATGTAGGGTAAAAGAAATAATGGTGAGGAATATTGATGTTTTTTCTGGGAATGGGAGGATATTTCCCTAATTTCTGCACCACCTCATTTTTGCTCCTTTTGTGGTTATTTCTGGTCATCCATATGGCAGTTTTCAATTCTCATGGTGCTTGGGGGAAGGGTGTTACTTAGCATGTGGGTAGGATTATAATGAAGTTAGAGATTGCATCATGGCCATTCTGGTAACCATCTTGCATCCAACCAGTTTCAACTAGCCCACCTGAAGAGGGACTTCTGGCTTCAGGATTCTTGTCCTCAAAATTGGCAAGATTATGCCAGATAGAAATGTAGCCAAATGGCCTAAAAATCCGAGATTAGGACAGGTTAGCAAAAATAGCATACAAAAGGGATTTAATTCAGTACCTGGCACATATTAGGTGTCCAATAGGTGTTTTGTAGTCATTCAAATACTATAAAAACCAAGGTCTCTTGAAAGAATTAAGCACAAGTTAAGGCAGGGACACTTCTTGGTCACTCACTGAAGTGCTTGGAATACTAAATTCTCAATAAATTCTTGTTTAATGTGTAAATAAAAATCTAAGTTTTTTTTTCTTAAATTAGATATCTTTTTTCTTTGGAGTATTGGAATAATTTGTATCTAACTGTTGTAATAATCACTGTTAAATTTTGCTCTCTCCCCTTTTTTGTGGCACTGGAGATTGAGCCCAGGGACACTTTAATTTAACAGTGGTCCACTTTATGCTCTGAACATAGCTCTTGCTCCCCTGTCACTGCAACTTTTTTGTAAGGACATGTTTCTTTCTCTTCCTCTTTCCCTAATTTCTCCTCCTCCCTACTCTAAGGCTCCATTCCAGGCAGAATTATCTATCCTTGAAAACACACCCACCACTGGAACAAAGTAATTCAGACTTTTGGGATGGCACAGAAGATCTCAGAAATGACTAGTGAGTTGCAAATCTGACAGAGAACATGTGGGTTTTAGCCTTTGAATCACCTCTTTTAAAAGCCCCCTCTTCCTGATGATGGGCAGAATCATAGCCTCTGGGACAGGAGTCCCCTGTGCTTCTCCTTTGCTAGCAAAGCAATAAACTTCCTTTTTCCTTTTTCTCAAAACCCTGTCCTCCGTTATTAGATTGGCATTAGGGACTAGGACCACGCTTTTGGTAATACTCCTGCAAGTATTATTTACTGCTCTCATTGACTGACGTGCTTTAGAGGTGCCCATTCACTCAAGCACTAACAGTAAATCATTTGGTTTCACCATGGTCCAAGGACCCCAAGAAAAAAGTATGTGGTAATTTTAACACCTTCCCCAATTTTCAAAAGATGGGGCACACTGGACTTGAAATGTAGGTTCCGAGAAGAGAAGCTGACACACTTCCCTGCTTATGGGAAGCCATTTCCAGGGTCTCAGAGATAATTAGTCACATGCTTACAGATGCAAATGTGACAAAGCTGGTCCCTCACACCAAAAGTTAACATTTAAAAATGCCTCTGTGCTTGAAGGGCCTCAGCCCACAAATGGCTCAAATGTAGGACATTCACATTTATAAAGAGCATTCTACCTGGGTGCGGTGGCACAGGCCTGTAATCCCTGTAGCTTGGGAGACTGAGACAGAAGAATTTCCAGTTCAAAGCCAGCCTTAGCAATGGCAAGGTGCTAAGCTAAATAAAATTAAAAATAGGGCAGGAGATGTGGCTCAGGGGTCGAGTACCTTGAGTTCAATCCCCAATACCAAATAAATAAATAAATAGAAGGCATTCTAGCTGCTGTGTAGAAAATATACCAGAGGTCAACCAGGATGGACAGTATCCTCAGGTGGTTCATCTGGCATGAACTTGAATACTCTGGTAGCTGATAAGCAGATAAAGATAATTAGTCCTACTGAATACAATTTCCCTATGCGGTGTGTGGGTGTATGGATTCTATTCCATTATATTTACTAGTTGTGTGAAAAAAAATTTCAGAAAATTCTTTTTTTTTTCTTTTGGTTGTTTAACTTAAATGCTAAAGTGTGCCCAGTAGAGTGGCATATGCCTGTGATCTCAGTGACTTGGGAGGCTGAGGCAAGAGGACTATAAATTTGAGGCCAGCCTTGGGAATGTAATGAAACCCTGTCTGACAATAAAGGACTGAGGATGCTGCTCAGTGGTAGAGCACCCCTGGGTTCCATCCCTAGTACCACTGATACTGCTGGTTACCAGTCACTAGTTCTGCTCCCTCACATGTTGAAATATAACATTAGAGAAGCACGCCGAGGCAAGCATATAAAACAGGGTTTATTTAAAAAGGGGTAACATAAGACTTCTTCCAGGAGGGAGATGGGGGCCTTAGCTGGTATCCTAAGAAGTGAGGGGTTCTGCCTTTTTTTAATAAGTCCTAGGCTTCCTTTATTTCCGGGCTCTCTTCCCCTATCTCTCTCCTTCCTGCTTACATGACTAGGCCCAGGAGATGCTCAGTGGGATGGCCAAAAAGTGAGAAACAGACGGATGGGGGAAAGGGCCAGAAGGAGCAGCCCAGCACACATTAATTAACAATTTTATGACTCCCTGTAGGGAGGGGCAATTCCTGGGACTGGTTACAGGTGGGAGCAGTGGCAGGTTATCTGCACAGGGTGGAGGAAGGGCTCTGAAGGAATTAACATTTCAATTCCTCTGTTCTCTGGATCACACCCTAACCTATCTGCCTAATTCTGGCTTCACCAGCACCACCACCAAAAAAAAAAAAAAAAAACATGTATGGAAAAGTCAAAGTGAGATATTAAGTCCTACCCAAATCTATTGCTAAAGAAAAGTGACTGTTGGGAAGTGTGATAGTGAAGCCAGATTTAAAATTAGGTAGTCAGTGTAGTTAGGTAAAGCGGGTCTAATATCGAGTGAAATCTAAAATGG